ATCAGGCATTATGCGCTGTCTAGCACATCATCACACATGACCGCATATGCAGTTTGGAGAGATGCACCTGCATGTGCGTCGCATCTCTCCACATCATAGCCGCATCTTGCATTGACCGCATCATACTTCATATGCGGTCCACCATTTTTTTCGAAATTGAACCCCTCGAGCAGGGCTAATAAGGTCATTTTGCCCTTCGAAAATGGAGGGAAAGGGTTTTTTTTATTGACCGCATCGTGGCGATGCACCCACATCTGGACCGCATCAAGCCTTATCGCCGCATCGGCCCCACCAACGCATACGGCTGCATCCCACATTTTAATACACTGCTAGAACTATTATCCCTCAATTTCCTTATCACATTTCCATCAAATATTTAATATATAAAAAATAAAGTGACATAATAGTGATTTTAATCAGTCTTCCGTTTTGAAATCAATCAAGTCTATTCACTTATATCATTCCATAATCTCTATCCCTTCTAGAAGACTTGTTCCACAAGTCAAAGAGAGAAAAGGAGTAGGTGGTGGGGTGTGCCACCCATGCGAGTCCCAAGTGGGCCCACATCTCCACCTCGATGGACCCTATATGGTGGGCCCCCATATCGTCTAGTAAATTTACAAATTAATAACAATCATTTTTGAGTCCATTTAATATTGTTCTCTTTATATGTATAAACTCAAGAAAATTTAATTTTGGCTATTTTAACATTTCTTTTTGCCAAAATAAAATGTATAGAGGGCTTTAAGAATTCATTTTAATATTCTAAAATTCACATAATACATATTTAAACATATTAAAATGAATTTGATGGGAATTGGATCCATTGGATTCATAAGGTAAGGATAAGAGAAATATATTGAGGCACTCCATCTATTTTAGAAACAGTGCATTACTATCATGTTCTCAAACTGACCCAATAGAAATCCATGACCCACAACCCATCGCAGGGGCTCATGATTGGTCCATCAAATCCAACCAATGAATGAAGACTATGCGATCCTTGTCCATAGATTTCAGGTTCCTTCCTGAAGACAAGTCTTGGTCATAGGACCTTCCAAGACAATCTAGTGTTGCAGGGAAACATCGCTTTTGCACATTTACACGACTTTGCCCCCATTGGGTTGCTTCCTTGATGGCTATATAGTGTATAAGCCATGCAATAGCAATAATGAGGATTTTGGCCCTTGTCATCTCTGGCCAACCATTGCATGTAGGGGTCGCACAGCCCCTCGGGCATCTCTCCGACCTCATCAAAGGATGACCCCACCATCAATGTTTTAAGAAACGGTTTGCCCAGCGCCTAGGTAGCTTAAACAAACAAACCGCACACCTCAACCCAGGCGGCCCCTACCTGGGCGGGTGTCACCCAGCACGAAAGGCATAGATCGAGGCGGGCTAGGCGGGGGTGCCCAACGCTCAGTTCTGGGTGGATGCCCAAGGCCGTCAGGCGTTTTTTGATTTTTAAATTCACCCAAAAGGGCAGAAGGGGTCATTTTGACCCCCAAATTTGTATAAAAACGTTATGGGGTTTATTTTTGAACCCCCAAAGTGAAAAAAAAATAGAAACCCGCAATCTCTAAATTTATTTCTAAGAATCTAAATTTACCCAAAAGAAACCTGAGATATGTGATATGTTTGTTATAAAAACGTTTGTTGCAAACTTGTGATATTTTCAAATGGAATAAATTACAAAATGTGACACAAATATATGCATATATGTGCATTTGGATCGCAAATATATAAAAAAATGCTAAGAATTTGCACCATAGGGTGCCCTGAGGTTTTGGGCGCCCGCCTAGGCGCTGGGCGCCAGGAAGGCCGCCTAGCGTTTTTTGAAACCTTGCCCACCGTAAAACTCTTATCAGTTGTGCCATATGCCAAGGGCTACAGGTTTTGGACATCAGCCCGAGCCTAGACTGTTGAAACTCAGGTGAGTCACAACATCAGAATGCCACACAGTCCATCCGGACTGTAATCCTTTGGTCCCTCTGGACCCCACTCCCATTGGGTTATCACATCATCTTATGGGAAGCTTTTAAGCATCAAATCAACTACTCTAAGTGGTACGCTTTTACAATAGAGGGGCTCAAGAAATTTGTAAAAGATCGTGAGAGAAACGTGGGAGATTAGGGTTCAAGTTCTCTCAATTTGGTAATAAAAGTAGTAAAGGTGTGAGGAAATTTTGACATAGTTTCTCATTGAATTTGTCACCAAATTAAAAGTGTCAATGAGATGATTTAATTGACTGATTTGATCCAAAAGTTACAGAGAAATCAGTCAACAAATTCTCATAAAAACTCATCAAAATCTCTTTAAATTTGATTAAAGATCTAGGCATGGAAAGCGTATACTTTAGGATCAATATGAACTCAATATCTCATGAAATAAGAAGGTAAAGGACCATGATACCTTGCTGTAACTGAAGAGTTACAGCCCACCAAAACCTCCATGGATGCATGGCTTGACGTGCGAAATTCTCCAAATTGAATCACTATGGAGCTATGGTTTCAACTCCAAGCTTATGTTGGAGCTTTAATGGAGCTCCAACCTCACTTTTCTCTGACCTATGTGCCACACTCTTCTTTTTTCTTTCTCAGTGTAGAATATTCTCACCAATGAAGAAAGAGAGAAAGAACCAAAGGAGGGACCTGGCACTCTATGAATGAATTGGTCACTTGAAATGGGCGATCAAGACCCCTATTTATAGGCTTGTGTAGTGGTTCCTTCTAAATGAGTTTGTCTTGGCCATTAATTCAAGTCATCTATGGGCTTGATCTATCCACTCATCACTTCTTATGCCATCTTAATGATTGCATGATATTTAACACCATTATCCTCTTAATAAACCCTACTCCAAATTTAGCTTCATTCGTAGATGCAAATTTATGTGAAATTCAATATTTTTCTAAAAGTGCCCATCCAATTTAATAAAATGAAATGAAGAAAGGCTATATAGGGGCAGTGCCCTTCTTGGAAATAAAATTTCTTTCTAGAAACGATTTTAATTTGAAATTGCCCCCTAGATCCATGTCATCAAGTGTGCATGTGCGACCAATTCTATGACACCACATATCATAGTTGGTGTCACCCCATCATCAACTCCTTGTAGTGATGATGTGGAGCCATGTCATGCATACATGGCACCCATTGGCCACATGAATGTCACCTGTGGGTCTTGGGGGGCTGTGTCCTCATTTGGGATTTTATCAAAATAAATTTCTAAAACGGAGCATTTGTTCCAAAAAAAAAAAAAAAAAACCCAAAAATTGTCCAAAACATGCTCTAATCATTTTATTCATTTTGGCATCATATAAAATTATTAATGAGGGAAATTAGGATCATATGGAGATGAATTGGGTAACAGAGCACTGGAATCCAAAGTCACTTTCTCAGAATGACCCACAATTTGTTGCAGGGGCTCATGCTTGGCGTATCAAAGTTAATTTAATATATGGCTCTGGACTTTCAAGTTACAGTGGATTACAGGTCCACCCCTGGGGACATGCACTCTTGTGGATGTGGGAGTCCTCTCTCGGCACATGTGCGTCTCTTTTTCCAGTGGATCGATTATAAAAGAGTGGTTTCCCATTTGCAACTATGTATGCATGTGCCATGAGAAGATTTGCTGTCAAGGATTTTGCTTATATCTTCTAAGAGCCTAACCTTCCCACACCAGGTTATTACTCTCAATTAGTTGAGCTCTTATCATACTCTAGGTTCCTCGACATCCTAGCCGTCACACTGTCAAAAGGTATAAAACAATTCAACTCTGATTCTAGATGTAACCCTCATCCCTCTCGATACAGTGCCTCTCATACTCAAACCACGACACAAGGTGGTTGCGACTCTTGGTCCCAGTTTGCCAAGATCCTAGAGTCACATTGCTCTAGCTCAATCCCACTGTAAATAAGAGCTATAAAAATAATGGGGTAAAGGCCTTGAAAGGTCATAACTCCAACAAACTTGCCCTTAATGTAAACATTAGTGGCCCCCAATTCACCGCTGGAAGAAGAATACAGAAGCTACTTCAGTTCACGTTTTTTTGTTTTGATCATTCTTTGAAAGGTGGATGTGTACTTCGTGAAAGCCTGAACAGATTAATTGTATCTCATTTCTGGAACTAAACCTACCAAATTAATGAACTATTGAAGTATGGGTGTCATTTAATCTCCAGAGTTCCTTTAGCAAACGATTCATATTGAGTTATACATTTCTCAGTGGTGTCCGGAAATCGATCTGTAGAACATGCAGAATGCGGAAGAACTCTCTTTGATGGCTTCTTATTTGGGCAAGGACTTAGAATTTTTTGACTGAATAAGTAGCTATTTATAATTTAACTTTGTAAATGATTTATCAACTTGTGTAAGATTTACCTTTTGAGAATCTGAGATTAGATCTGAAGAAATGACCAGCTTACGTGGCTTTCCTACCTCTGCAACTAAACTAGCCTCCCCAGCTTCAGTATGCCAAGCAGATTGTTTCTTGGATAGTATCTTCAAAGCTTGGTGATTTTTCATTACAGAGGATCTCATGGTATCCATCTCCAACTCCAGGCCAGAAGGTACTATCCCATAGGCTGTCTAATCAAGTGTCCTATCCTCATATTCTGGAGATGGAATATCCCACTGATCATCTAAGAATATTGGCTGACTGACATCTACATCTTAGTCTAATCTCTCATATAAGCTGAGCAAGGGACATTAGTACTTGGAAGGTCAATTACAGAGAGGGGCCCTCTCTTGTCAAAGTGATGAGGGCTATCTTTATCCACCTCTTATTTTGTGATATTTAATAGTTATTTATGCTGAAAATTCATCCAACTCTGGCTCTAAAAGAAAACTGATCAACTTGGCCAATATTCTTCTCCAGCTCGTCATTTACTTCAGTGGACTTGTAGAATTGGTATTGAAGCTCATTTTTGCCCAATTCTGTAGTTTGGCTTGTCTAGCAGCTTGCCACTGTCGAGAGGCTATTGTTTATGCCACTTGTTTTTGCAGATGGAAGAGTGAAGACACCCCTCAGTCCCACAGTTGGTGGTGGCTCTGGCTTGAGGCCATTTGGCATGGCACATGGCCTTGGGAGCAGCAGTGACATTCAGATGTTTCAGTCTTCACCGCACTCATCAAGTGGAGTTGTGCACAGCTTTTCTTTGGGCAGTATAGGGCAGATGCTTCATGATAGTAGCGGTGGTGGGTCCTTCTGGACGCCTAATAGGAGCCAGATGCGGCTTCAGAGCAGAAGATCACAGTCAAGAGAAGACCTCAATTCTTCATTGGCTGAGGCCCACATGGTGAAGGTGTAGTAGGTTGTCTCTGCATTGCACAGGTATATTCTTTCACTACCTTCCTCTGTTTCCAAATTGTAAAATTTAAAAATGAAGCAGAGGTGCAAATTTTGCTGTTCATAAGATTTGGGATGGCTATCATCATTCTTTCTGTATTACGTGGTTCTCCAGCAATATAAATCGGCCCAATATCATCTTCATCCTTATAGTTGATTTACATGCCTTCTGGGTTTGTTTTGTTTTCCCTCGGTCTAGTATTCTCTTTTATTTCTCTTATTTTAAACAACTGTACTTGAGCTCCAAATGGTAGGTTTACAGCAATATCTGTAAATACGAGCTTCTGGTGCCTCGTAAATATGGGGACCTTTGCCTCTTCTTTTCTCCCTCCTTTCCAACTCTGATGTTTTTAATTTGTAGTTTCCCTTTGCTTCTGTCTTGAATATCTTTAGTTGTAGTTCCTGTTATGTTTGAATCATGTGCCCTGTATAGTAAATTTATCCATTTTTCTTTAGTGATGCGGCATATATAACAAAAGTGATTGCTGCATCAACAGCATGATGGAAACATATGTGGAATGGTTGTTGGTGCATTGTATTTATCAAGATGGGAGATGATCGAGAGGCCTCTCCTGGGTGGTTCTGTGAAGCATTAGATGAATGGACTGGTTCATTGTGGATTGGTGACATACCATTGTGACCAAAGTTACTTGAACTTGATTACTCCTACAGCAGTTCCTTATGTTTGTTGGGATGTGAGCAAGAGGATGCATGCACATGTACGTGCACAGAAAAGTATTGGTCGAAGAATGAAATTGTGGATTATTAACGTTAGATGCATTACTTGTACTGATTTGTACGCCCTAGCAGGATAAGCTCTGCTTGGTCCCCTGGTTTGGCCGTGCAATATAGGCTGCTACTTGTGCGCGAGTAGATAAGAAGGCTGCTTTGCTCACATGCGGGAGTTTGTGAATTTGCTCTTAACAAAAGGTGGAATAACTTCCTTCATTAGCTACTTTAATGATTCGTTGAGTCATGCGATGGAGTTCGTTTCATGCAACTAGAACCTGTAGGAAGTTGGACAGATTGGATGGAAGTGGAAAGTGGGTATGGATGGAATGGAAGTGGAAAGTTGGTGAAGAAAAAAGAGGGCACAAATGGTTCCTCTCTTTTAGATGAAAATGGGTAGATGGAAGAAGTGGAAAGTGGGTGAAGGAAAAAGAGGATGACAAATGGTTTCTCTCCATTGTCAATCTCCCTCGAGTTCAAATACAGGAGCTTAGAGGTATAGAAAATATCTCAAAGTTATCAGAGAGATTTACATGGGTATTCCACCCAAATATCCGTTATTAAAATACCTCTCAATAGTCTGTTTTTATGCTCGTACCGGTTTTTTATTTTTATTTTATTTTTCCACCAATTGTCCCAACTTTGGACCCATCAAACTTTCGATGTAGTTCTCCCAAACTTTAGTGCAATCGGGACAACTTCAGACGTTTAAGGCCTGAAGTTTAGTTTATTTGCAACACTCTACAATTGGGAAAACTAGGTTATTTAAGTAGAAAATAGCCTAAACATGGTGCCCTGCCGCATATTTGTCATCAAATCTGACCTCCAAAGATTCATCGTAATGCATGCCTTGAAATCTTCATCAGCTGCCACTGTAAGTAAACTCCCGTGGCACATGCATATCTCAATCTGGATTTTTGAAGCTAGATTAATTATCTTTTAAACAAATTGCAATATTGCAATTCCAAGTGTTCCATGTGTTGGAAAACCTTTAAATCAATAATTTAAGCTTGAAAGAAAAAATTAGGGCTTCTAATTCTAAAAATAGTATATATTTTAGATGATCCATTTTGCCTTAAAAACAATTGTTCAGAGATCTTGGGGATTTGTATTATTTTTTGAGTTTCAAAATTTATTGTCAATGTTGGAAATTAATTTTAGAGCCATTATGAAGATTTCGAATGCCGAAAGTGCTCTTCGGCTGAGAATTTGAGGTGAGGCTTTATTTTCTTTTTATAAATCCTAGGCCTTGTAAAAACTTCATCCTTTAAACAAATCACAATATCCAAGGCATCTGAGCAATATTAAAGCAATTATTAGCCAGCCAAGTTTCGAACAATGAATAGCCAATAACCAGTTCTGCTACCCCAGAATAAACTGGGAGCAGAGACGCAGACACGAGATGTAATTGCAAAAAAAAGGCGAGTCGACTGTTACGCTGGCTGGGTGCCGAGAGAGAAGCATGCCATGTTATTGGTTTGCACGGCAAGAGAGGAGGCCTACACCATCGAGAGATGTCTTATAGGCAAGTAGAGAGAGCATTGGTGGCTCCTTGAATGTTATTAAATGGTGTAAGAGAGAGCAAATGATCTTTTAGTTCTTATTTACCCTTTGGATTAAAATTCATGATCTTTGTGTTCTGCCAAATTTGAAGATTTCATTCAGTCACACCCTCCAAGAAGCTAACGATGCTGCTGATGATCTCGCTAGGAATGGAGTTACCCTTCCCTCTTTTGCAAATTCTTGACGCTTTGATTCTAACTTTTTAATCTTATACTCTTGAAGTATTTTTATAATAAAAACTCATAACATTTTTCAAAAAAAAAAAGAGAAATCACTGGGGCTACCTCCTAGGCAAGCTGAGAGAGAGAAAAAGTGGCCACTGGTGGTTCCTCATACGGAAGCTTTATGTGCATAGTAAAACGAGGCACCGGTGGACCGTTGCAATGAGTAGCAAGTAGTGTTTGTGAGCGCTTCCCTTTTGCAACTATACATAAATATAGAGCGAGTAAAGCATATGCTACTGCGGGAGAGCTATTTGGGATATCTTTTTGTAATCAAAACTTTATGATCCACCTAATTATCATTAGATGATTATTTTTAATGAAAACAAAATTTATCAGTATTTTTAATGAAAATTTAAATTTGAACTTCTTGAACATCTAGATCCTTTCGTCCAGAAATTTGACAGCTTTTGTGCAATCTGAGTTGTCATTTTTTCTTTTGGACATTGGTTTCGTGAGTCAGGCGACTCACCTATTACCGTGTGATCCCTTGTCTATCTAACGTTCATCTTGCATTCATCTTAAGATGGATGTCAAAAAATGCTACGTCCAGTAATTGTTAAAATGGATGGTGAAGAAAAGAATTAAAAAAGTAGCATTTATATTTTTTGAAAAAAAAAAATTTAAATTTAGATCATTGTCATGGTTGAGATTATCGAACAATAAAATTTTGGATCGAATATACATCTTTGAGATATATCTTGTAGGGAGACTTCACAAAAATAGTACGAGTCCGCTGACTCACCATATACCTTTTCTTTTTATTTTTAGGTAGGTATACTAGGAGTTAATTTTTTTTCTTTGAGGTTGGTCGTTAGGTTCTAGAAATTACATCCCCTAATTTGGGATCTAAGAAATGTTCCCAATATGAATTTTGCTTGAGGGAGTAGATGTATATTATGGTTCCACAAGAGTAGAAAATCTTTTTGCTAAATATTATGCAATTGGGCGCCCTAAGTTCTCGCCTCACTTGCTCGGGATACGGAAGTCAAATGTTTTTTGTGTGAATTTTGCGTGGGAGTACAGTGTTAGTATTTTTGGTTTTGAAAAATACTTATGTATATTTCAAAATAACAACATGATTTTTGTGATTTTTTCTAATCTGTACTTCATAGATAGAGAAAGATGTGGCTTTTTTGTCCTACAATGAAGATGGGAGAGTAAATTGAATAATATTTAAATGTATGCATGTGGGGATGGTGCATGTGCGGAGCACATGAAGCGTGCGATGCGCTCATGGGCGAGGGAGTAGGTGCAAGGGCACTTGATGACGCACTTTTTACTTTGTACGCTTGCATCGGCGATGCTCGCCTAAGCACATGTCCAGGTCCAGCTCGAGGCTGGATATCTTTTTGTGAGCATGGATTGTGTGTGTCATCCAACGGTCATCTAGCCGAGGCGTAATGACACACTTTGTACTTTGCACGCTCGCATAAGCACTACTCCCCAGAGCGTGTTTACAAGTCCAACTTGAGGCTCGATATCTTTTTGTGAGCATGGATCGTGTGGGTCATCCAACAGTCATCTAGCCATTGAAGAAAAGAGGCTTGTAACAACAGCCATCGAAGTTAAGTTGTGTGGGTCATCCAACGTTCATCTAGCCATTGAAGAAAAGGAGGCTGTCATCTAGCCATTGAAGAAAAGAGCCTTGTAATAGCAGCCATTTAAGTTGTGTGGGTAGAGATTAAGTTGTGTGGGTCATCCAACGGTCATCTAGCAATTAAAGAAATGAGGCTTGTAACAACAGTCGTTGAGATTAGGGGTGTGGATGTAACTTGTGATTGTTGGTGGTTCATGTAACTACCACTACAGTAAATGTGTAGCCTCCTTGTAACTCTATAGTAAGGGCCCTTCTTCCCAAACAAAAATAGGCTTTTGTATTATCTCTCAACATATATTTTTTTTGTGAATTCTAGGGAGAATAAAGTGAACTCTTTGTACTCATTTTTCATTCTTTCTCTCTCTAAACAATTCTACACTTGGGTGTCTAATGTGGGTTTCCAAGCTTGGGGCCTATAGAGTTTGGAACATCAAAAGAAACCTCTTTGTTTTCCTGTATCCCATGGACGATTTTTCCTTCTTATGTACACCTATTACAGTATCGAAAGTGGGAAAATATCGTCTTGAGATAGTGTTCTTGCATGCCTGAAAACAAGAAGACTTTAGGCTTCAATTTGTTTAATCTATACGCTATTTCACCCAACAATTCCCAACAATTCAAGACGGTATTTTATGGGTGGTGAAAATAAGGAGACTGTCAGGACATCCTTGAAAGTCATGAACCATGATTTTACAAGGCTAGAGTGCTTCAATAGATTGAATATAAGAGATGGCAACAAAAGATCCGTTTTTGCTCACTACTCTCATAGTGGCTTACATGGTAACTGAATCAATGCCTACACCTTTACCTCAATTTGATGATTCCAGTGAGGAGCAAACTCAATCCTACAAAAGGTGGATGGAGGATGACTACATTTACAAAGGATATATCCTCAATGCTTTGGCGAATCCCATATACTATATGTACGCATCCATTGCCATGGCGAGAGAGCTATGAAAGCTTATAGAAACCAAATACATCTCTGAAGAATATGGTAACAAAATGTTTTTTATTTTGAAGTTTCTAGACTTTAAATTCATTGAAAACAAGTCATTATTTTTTCAAGTATATGAATTGCAACTTATAGTTAATGAACTTCAATATTGTGGAATTCAATTAGATGAATTTTTTTGAGTAGGCTCTATATTTCACAAACTACCCCCATCTTGAAAAGAGTATCAAAAGAAAATGAAACATAAGAAAGTGGACCTTGATTTGGCTCAACTTCAAAGATATCTTTGAATTGAAGAAGAGAATAGATTACGGGAAAA